TGGATTCTTACCACTCTTTTAGGTATACTTTGTAAATACATTAAATAAGAAAATGTTAATACTTTTTGAGTAAAATTAAGATTTATTAAAATTTCCCTAAATGTAGACACTCGCTAAAAGTTAAAAATAACCAACTAAAAGTTATTATTTTTTATATTATGTAGTGTCCATCTCTTTAATAATAAGTAAGCTATAAGTTAATTATTATATTTTTTGGAAAATATCATACAGGGTGTTTTCTATGTCCCGTTGAAAATAGCGATTTTAAAAGTTTAAAATCTTGTTTTTATTCAATGGAACACCCTATATATTTTTGCATAATTGGATAGAATAAGTAATTAACTTTCATTTTATATATATATGTCCTATATCTAAACCTAACAGAAAAAAAAATATTCGCATTTTTCACAATTAGTAGCTTTTTTCCAATTACCTTAGTTAAATTTTCATTATTATACCCTGTACACTTTTTAGAAATATTTTTTATTGTAATTTAAACACAGCCCTGCTCTTAACAAAAAAACAAAAATCTTACCACCAAAGTAACGTGCGAACTTTTTTGTCCTATATTGGACCCAAAATAAAGTAGTTCTATATTATTACCGACTGAGATAGTTATAATTGTATACAGCGTCATCTAATGATTTGACTTTAAGGTAACTATTTATAGAACTCTTGTTTTTATAGTATTAATGTTAATTGTCCTATAACCATAAAGTGTCCGATAACTGTCTACTTTACCCTATATCCTACAATATTTTTAAATGCCATGCTTTTTCATAACAAAAATGTATGTTAAATTTGAATATCAACTATAAAATTACAAAAAAATGCCTAAATGCCTTTACTTTGTCTTAAAGTAATTAAATGTCAAAAGAATCGAGAATTACACCTAAATGCAGTAATTATCTTATCTGAAGGGAAACGGATTTAAAATAAATACAGTTTCTTTGAACTGAATGCTCTCTTAAAATGAATTAGTCAAAAATAACTAATTATAAGTCATATTTGACTACTTGTCATATCGAAAAAGCAGTCACTAATAATTAGTCAAATTCTACTGAATGAAATAGTCAAATTAGTAGATTTAAATTTAAAAAAAGTTTTGATTCAGCCGGGGATGGATCTCAGGTCAGTCACTTGTAAAGCTCGTCAAGCTGTTGTCATAACCCATTCGGCTTAATAATTTTATTTGTCAATAAATATTGTTTATGATATTTTAAAGTTGAATATTTTATTTGTGTTGCTGTTTTGAGCTAAACTTTTTTCATCTTTATTTGTTTTTATGGGTCATTTAACCATGCATGGAGCTTAGGTATATGCATTTAATTCAAATAATACTTTGTTGTTGGCCGCAAACTATTAAAGAAATTAGTTACTTTTAACTCCCAGAAATAGTCAAAGATGGTGACTAATCTTAACACGGTGGTGTTCTGAGAGGTGATTTTTGGACTTTCTGGGAAACCTAATTTTTTTTATATTCTTGTTAATTAGGTCATAACTAAAATTTTAAGAGCAAAATAAAAAAAATTTGACGGTTAATTTTGTTTTAATTGGATGTTTATTAAAAATATGTATGCACACTTTCAATTCTCCAATTAAAACTTGCGATTTTGAGAGAACAAAAATTATAGAATACGTATACTGAAAATGACAATTCAAACGTCAAATAAATTTTTAATAGATCTAAGTTTCATGGCAACCTTTAAGGATATATTAATTAAGGGAACATAAATGTATACGTAAAAGGTTAGATTAAAAGTTTAAACGTTTATTGCACCAAAACAGTAAAATATATAAAAAAAATTGTAAAAACCTTTTTTTTAGTTAACAAATATTAAATATTTAAATTAAATCGCTAGTTTTAATTGGATAATTGAAAGAGTGCATAATATTTTTAATAAACAGCCAATTAAAACAATTCAAACCGTCAGTTTTTTTTTATTTTGCTCTTAAATTCTTAGTTATGACCTAATTAACAAGAATATAAAAAAAAATTAGGTTTCACAGAAAGTCCAAAAATCACCTCTCAGAACAGCACCGTGTTAAATTAGTCAAACTTTAACTATTTAAGTAGTAAAAAATAACTATTTAAAATTGAAAACGACTATTTTATTAGTAAAAAATGCTGGTACTAATTCAAATAGCTATTTGAATTAGTACCAGCATTTTTTACTAATAAATACTAGTAGAATTTTGACTATTTCATTTTTAAAGAGTGGATATTTTTTAAATGAATGGATTCTTTTACGGCAAAGATACCATTTGTATCAGTGTGTCGCGTGAGTAAAAATCTTTCTTTAATTTAATCCAAAAATGCGGTCGCAAAGGCGCTTCAAAGCGGCGGCATCTTTCAGTTCCTGGTACCTAGCCGAGGCCTCGGCAGGATGTTTCTTGGCGGCAGCGGCGGCGGTATGGATTTGCCATTAAAGGAGCGTCCTGCGGGGCGCATGTCTCGCGTCGCACGTGCACGGAAATCCAGATGGGTTTGGGGAACCACCCCCGACCCGCCCCCCGCCCCCCGGAACGAGCAGACTGCTCGACGCCGCGGAAATTCTGCATACGCAACTTTTTTGTTTCCCTTTTTTATTTTTTAAAGGGTAAAACGGAGTTTTAAAGTTTTATGGCTAGAATTTTTTTTTAAATAGTATACCTACCCTGAAAATTTTGTATACAAATAAAACAAACAGTAAGGAAGATAAAACGCTTCAAAGTCGGTAAAAATGATCCCTTTTTGATTATTTTGCTGAAAAATGGTCATTTTCGACGACTTTCGTTACTGTTCGTTTGATTTGTACAACATTTTCAGGGTTTATTTACAAAAATACGGTATTTCACAGCAAATTTTTTATTTACATAAAAAATCCCTATAATAGTTATTTATGTCATTAGGTTAAGAAGTAAGGCTTTTTAAGCGAAGCACAAAAAGGCACTTCTTGGCCGAATGGCATACAACATATAGGTCAATTTAATTCAACATCAAAGCGGCCTAACCTCACTTTTTTAGAATCTCATTTATTTATTAGCTAAAGATTACATTAAATGTACAATAATTATTATTGCTGTTAGAAGCAGTAATAGTTTCACAATAAGAAATGGATTTTTGCCATTACATAGAATTCAATTAATTGTTTAATAAATAGGTAGGTATCTAATTTCAATTTGTTTGGATTTTTATTTAAAAAAAAAGGTAGTTTGAAATGTTTAAGCTGTGTTTAACATTTAATTTCACTGAAAACTTAAAGCAAATTAAAACATAATAATTTAAATCGTAGAAAAAGAATCGTGCGTTTTCTTGGTTGACTAACCTCACTTTTTGTTTTATTATTCATATTTAATTTTACAATAATTTAATGAAAAATATTAAACATTAACAGCAAAACAAACAAATTAGTGCTTAAACCAGTTTAGTACGTTAATTTCTTAGAAAAGGATTAATTTGTCAAAACAATACCCCTAGCGAGAAAAAATCGAACTAATTACTTGCCTCATAAAAATTTTTATCGGCCTAGGCCATAACAAGGTATTTCTTTATCGAATAACAATAAAGTTTAAATTATAGACCGCGTGGAGATAAAAGTTTTTTTTGAGCCTTTTTTTGATATTAAATAAAAAGGCTTTAAGGATATTTTTTTGAAAAACCCTTAAACAAGTATTTTTATCCGAAATTTTATAAAGATTGGTATAGGCGTTTTAGAGTTTTTTTTACTTATGCGTTAATTTTATGGCAAAAAATAAGAAGTTTACTCGTTCTAAAATGCAATTTTATTCCAATTCTATTTTATATCAAGTTTATAGCTAATTCACAAAATTTAATTATTTTTATGTAAATTAAAGTTTTATTGGGAAAAATATTAATTTTATGACATAAGAATAAAAGATATTAATATTATTACATAAGAATTAAAAAAATCTTCACTTTTACTTTTTTTGTTTAATTTTATTGTAAAAAGTGTATTTCTCTTTCGGAAATAGTTATTTGTTTTACAAGTGTTGAAAAGCGACTTTTTCATGCAAGTGTTTAAGTTGCATTAACACGAGCTTGAAGAAAGCTTTTCTCACAAGTGAAACACAATGTTTTTTCTACGACCCTTTGATTTTTTAGTATATTCAAATACAAAACAAAATATCCTAAAAATGTGTTTGACAGTTGTTAAAATTCTTTTATCTTATTCTTTTAATTTTTAAGGTATAAGTTACTTAAAATCAATAAACTTACCTTCTCAATTTAAATAAAGGCACTAAAACTAGAATTTATTATACACACACAATTAATTGTGTTCTAAATGATATTTAGAAATACATATACCTATAAATACAATACAAATTTTGAAACGAATGTCAAAAGATGCTGTCAATTTCTTTTCACACAGACCTGTCACTTTTCATTCGTGTTTTGCCTTGCCAATGAAAAGATTCATTTTCTAAGCAACGATGCCAATACGAAATGTGACTTTTACATATATGTAAAAGTCACATTCACTATAGTGGTCGTACACTGAAAAAAATGCTTGTTGCTATTTTAACTAAACTTATATAGTTGTTGTTATTATTGTACACCAAACTAAAATAACAGTTAATTCTACTAAAAATAGATAATTTATAAATTTGCAGCAACCATGTACACTGTTGTGCACACACAATATAAACTGTTAAGATTTTATTGTTGTCAGAACTATTTATTTAGATGCTTTGATTATTCAATATTGTAAAACTAACAGTTACAATTTAAATAGTAAGTGATAACAATTTTATTTTGTAAAAATAAAAAATACCATGTAATATTGTTGCGAATATCAAATGTTTGATTCTGGGAATCACACAAGATAGTTGTGATTCCCACAATAGTGGCGTGACCTGATCGCCACGCATTTTCGTCTATTCATTTTAACAGCATCTCCATTATTAGTGGTTGTTTTGTCGTGTGAGCGTATGGTTTTCGATTTTGTTAAAGAATAAGGTTTTGTGTTGGAAAAGTAAGTATAGTGATCCCGTACCTAATGGATAATGTTAAAGAATATTTAGATAAATGGGGATTATCCCATTTATGGGAAACTTTTGAAGGTAAGCGTTCATGCAATATGTAATAAATAGTAAATAAATTAGGTCTGCGTTTTGGTTCAATTAAGTATTTAAATTTAATTTTAAATGTACAGGGTGAACCATATAACATATTATTATTTATTTCCGAAACTACTGCAGTCACAAAAATTCATCAAATATTAAGTGTTCTTATGTTCCACATGTCCAAATTTTGTTTTACAAAATATTTTTATTTATATTTTAAATTAAACCTCATTTATATATTCATATTAATATATCTATAATAACTTAATTGTTTTACTGTAATAATCATGTGGGTACTCTCTAAAAATGAATTAGTCAAAAATGAATAATTTAATAGTTATTAGTGGCTGTTTTTTCACTTGTACCATGGTTAACCATGGAATACCAGGGTATCTCAAAATTTAACATCCAATTCTTATATAAAATTGTCCCCCGAATCCGAAAATACTGTCAAAAATTATGAAAGTAGAGCAGTTTTTGAAATATAGTCAATTACATATTAAATGAAAAATTGACTATATCTCAAAAACTGTTCTACGGTATTTTCGGATTCAGGGGACAATTTTACATAAGAATTGGATGGTAAATTTTGGGATACAATGTTATTTCATAGTTAACCATGGTACAAGTGAAAAAGCAGCCACTAATAACTGAGGAGTGATTTTTCAAAAGGTCGTATTTATATTTGCAACAATTTTTCAAAAAAATGACTATAACCTGTATAGGTTATAACCTATAGGGCAATATAGAATATTTAAAAAAAAATCTGATGAATATTTAATAATACTTCAGACCTGCTGTCATATTTCGTCGTTAATATATGCCTTTTAACCATACCTTTGGGATTTTGTCAAAAAATTACATTAAAGTAAAAATGGAAATAAGGCCTTTTGAAAAATCACTCCTCAACTATTAAATTAGTCATTTTTGACTAATTCATTTTTAAAGAGTATATTCTTTAGATTTTTTTCAATAAAAACATTACGCATACCCTATAGGTAAAATCAATATTTACTGAGATATTACCAAAATGTGAAATGGTTGTGTGGATGGTTTTAAATTTCATAGTAGGTGGCAAATTTTATGGCAACTGTTGCCAAACAATATAAATATGTATAATTTTATATGGTTTATTTTTTCAAAAGTGCAAAAAAATACAGGGTGGTAAATTAAAAATGAGAAAGTTGGGAAAACCAAAAACCATGTATAAATAAACATATAATATACAATCGTTTTTTTACAGGTTTTATTTTACAAATTTTTGAAACTCCAGTAGTTTCTGAGATAAGTATATATTAGGGTGGTCGTTAAAAATTAAATTTTTTGCTACGCCCCCTAAAAAGCTTCTTTTTGATGAAAAAACATTGTGTTTTTTTAATTAAAAACAACACGTGCCTCAAGACGATCCAAGTTAAGGTATAATCATGTTTTTTGGGAATTTTTCATGAAAAATTCAATTTTATTTAAAATATAAACAATTATAGAACCCAAATCAGTAAAAAACAATAGTTAATCGAAATAATAATGGACAAAAACTTAAATTCAAAATTTTTCCCAGTTGATTTGGTCTATTAAATAAAAAAATGAAAGATATTCAATTTGATATTTTTATTTTAAAACTAAATTAGTACAAACGTAATTTTAATATCTAGATTTTTTCACTCCAAGGTGAAGTTATTTTATTGTTAATAATTTTTAAATCTCAAAAAAATTATTATTCCATAATATTATTTAATCAGATATTTTCAGAAAAGACATGATTATACCAAAAAATTAACTTAGATCGTCTTGAGGCACGTGTTGTTTTTAATTGAAAAAAAAATTCCCAGTGTTTTTTCATCAAAAAGAAACTTTTTAGGGGGCGTCACAAAAAATTTAATTTTTAACGACCACCACTATAGTATATATGGGTCAGCTTACGTGGTTTACCCTGTAAAGGTATATGTTTTTTATTTATATTTGTAATATATATTTTGTTCGATACACTCAGTGAAAGTAGTATCCGTACATACATTTATTTATTTTAGAGCAAGGAATAGATTATGAGGCTTTTATTAATTTAACGGAGGATTTAATAAAGGAGACAGATCAAAGTTTTTAGCCCATTTCAAAAATTTAAAAACAATAAATGAATCAACCCAATTTATATTTAACCTAGAAGAAATCCCTAGCAACTGTGACATTGATATCATCTCATCACCAGCATTGTCTCAAGCTGATATCCCTAGCAACTGTGACATTGATATCATCTCATCACCAGCATTGTCTCAAGCTGATACTAAGTCGTTAGGCGAGTTAAGTTCCAATTGTTCGAGTTCTGCCTCCTTACTCAGCGAAACAAGGGATTTTTTAGAAGACAGAGTGCTAAGTAATTATGACATTATTATACAATTATTTCTTTAAATAAATCTAAAATAATTTTAGAAGAAATACCTGTGCCTTATAAAAGACAAAATGCTTTTATTGGTGACTTTTCAAACGAAACAGAACCTTTGACCTACGAATTTGTAAGTAGTACTAGTTTAAACTGATGAAATGTAAAATCGATGGTTATATTTTAGGACCTAAAAAAATTAGTAAATAAAAGTGTAACGGGGCAACAAATATTACGGGCTGATAACCTAACACCAGTTTTGCGCAATAATCTTGTTTCAATAATTATTAACGAAGAGCTTAGAGTTCACTCGGATAAAAGGTAGGTCATATTTGAAATTTAATTTTTGTTTAAAAATAAAAACTGATTTTTTTTAGAATTCCTACCTCACGATTTATTCAGTTAGCACGCCATATTAAACAAACATTTCCAAAAGAATCACTGGCTACTTATTATACTCCATATGAAAACGTTGAGGGAAAGTACAAACGTTGTGCAAAGGGTAAATTGTTTGATAAATACCATAACGTTAGAAGATGCTTAAGGACATCAGGGATTCTACTAGGTCGTAATCCAAGTAAAAAACGTACAAATTTTGATATTCTGCATTGCTGTAATAATAAAATATACTCTTATTTTTAGAAGAGGGTTTTGAGCAAATTCTCGAAGAAAATACCCAAGACGTTCAAAATATTGATGATCTAATTCTATGGCTGAAAAACAATTATGAGCCCTGGCCAACTGTGGTGGAACATTGGCAAAAAACATCAAAAAGGAGATTAAAAGCCTATACTGATAGTGAATCCAGTATTTTTAATTATTTAAAAACGTTTCCTGCTCTTACAAGACCTCTTGGATATACATTGGTAAGCATAATTTTAACAATAATTTTTAAATATTTGTAAATATATATTTTTTAGTTTGAAATAGATTTTAAAGAACGTTTTTTGCAACAGGAATACAACTTGTATTCAAAAGTTAATGACTTTTCAAGTAAAATATTTGAACTAGCAAAAAAGTCAAAAGACCCAAACGTTTTTAAATTTATGACTCATTTGGTAGACAATGATTTGGAAGGTAAAAATACACTGTATAATATTATTTGGCACTAACAAAACTACAAATTTCAGATACAAGAATTGCAATTGCTTTTTTAATTCTACCATATCTTCTCCAAACCAGCGTAGTATCAACAAAAAAGATTAAATGGCGACCTTCGAAAAGTGAGTGTCAAGAAACATTCTTACTACATGTTTCCACGGTTGATGAGTTGGATGCAACTTTAGAACGACAAAGAAATAAATTTTTGAATAAATGTGACACTTTTCAACCCTTGCCTATCGTGATCGGTAATTTTAATAATTTGCAGTGCATGATATCAGTTGATACCTTTTTGTTTAAAGTAGAAAGTGTTATAAAATGTGTAGATGTTTGCTTTAAAATGTATCATGTTTTGCATGCTGAATATCCTTCACCAAGTAAACATATTTGGCAATTAATTCAAGAATATATTTATGAAATAAAAGATGCAGATCATGATAAAAACTACATTTCTGTTAACACGTTTCTTACTGAGCTAAATGAGATATAGACTTTTTTTCTTTCTTAAATATATTTGTATTACTTATTTTTTGAAATGTTATGTTTTATGTGCAATCAGTCGTTTCCATCAGTAAAGGTGCTTATATTGCATTTTAAATATTATCATTCTTTTGAAGATGGTCCTATAACATGCTGTGAAATTAATTGTACTAGAACTATGAGCTCTATTAATTCTTTCAGAAAGCATGTTAAAGAAAAGCATTCAAATCTCACTTTGAACACAATAAATAATTTACAAACGTTGCCATTAGAACACTCAACATACCAAAACAACGAAAGCTTGGACGATACATTTTTACTTTCAAATTCCAATTCCAAAGAAAATATTGAAAATAATTTGAATGGTTTATCCAATGGCAAAATACTTATAGATTCTGAAAGTTTTCATAAAAATGTTTTACAATTTGTTTCGTGTCTATATACTAATAATGCTATTCCTCGTGCAGAAGTTCAACATATTGTTTCTCTTACTATAAAATTGTTTAATCATGAATTTGTGAAAGATCTAGAGAATCTAATTGTTAAACTATTAAACACATTTAAATGTAACGAAAATATAGTGATATCCATTCAGTCTTATTTTCATGTTCTTCAAAATCCTTTTACAGATTTATCTTCGGAATACAAAAGATTTAAATATTTTCAGGAATCTGGCCATTTCATTAAACCACAAGAATTTATTATTGGACTAAATACTCGAAAAAGAACAAAAGATTGTAGTTCAATTGTAGACAATAAATCTTCAAAGGGAATTTTAATTCCTCTAAGAGAAAACTTAAAAAAAATATTTGAATTACCTAACGTTTTTAATAAAACTATCGAATATTCAAAAAACCTTATAAATAGCCCAATTAAACAAAACTTCATTCAATGCGAATTGTGGCAGTCAAAACTTAAATTATTTAAAGATAAAATTGTGTTTCCTTTGTTCATATATTTTGACGATTTTGAAACCGGAAATGTGCTCGGGTCTCACTCGGGAACAAATAAATTAGGAGGTGTTTATGCATCTATTCCTTGCTTTCCACCAGAGTTTCAATCTCTAACAGAATACATTCTGTTAACTCAGTTGTTTATGTCCACGGATAGAAAACAATTTGGTAATTCGATATTTAAAACTGTTATTGAAGAGCTTAATAATTTGCACAATGTTGGAATAAACATAAAGTGTGGTTCTGAAGTCAAAACAATATATTTTTCTTTAGGTTTGTGTCTAGGCGATAATCTTGGTTTAAATTCTATGTTTGGATTTGTCGAAAGTTTCAGTGCTAATTATTTTTGTCGTCTTTGTATGATTCCAAAATCTGAATCCAAAGTTCAGTGTCAAGAAGACAAGAATAAGCTTCGAAACAGAATAAATTATCAAAACCAACTGACCTTAAATGACCCATGCCTGACAGGTATTAAAGAAAATTCTATTTGGAATACAGTCTCAAGTTTTCATGTTACTGAAAATTTTTGTGTAGACATAATGCACGATATTTTGGAGGGGGTATGTATATTTGATACTGCTCTTATTCTTAATTATTTTATTTACGACTTAAAAATTTTTACATTAAATGCATTAAATTCGAAAATTGAATCTTTTGATTATGGGTCAGAAACAAACATTCCACCTAAAATACGCGAGGACGATTTAAAAAAAAAAAGCATTAAAATGTCAGCATCTGAAATGCTTACCTTTATTTCATTACTGAATTTAATGATTGGACCCTGGATACCAGAAAACAATACATATTGGCAGTTATATTTGACATTGCGAAAAATATTAGAAATAATTTTAGATAAGTGTATTCAACCTGATTACGAACAGCTCTTAGCATCACTTATTTTTGAACATCATTTCATTTATTCTATTAAACTAAAACAAACCCTTAAGCCTAAACATCATAATATGGTCCATTACCCTCACATTATGAAAATGGTTGGACCTTTGGTACATATCTGGTCCATGAGGTTTGAATCTAAGCACAGACCGTTAAAAACCACTGCCAATATTAGCTGCTCTAAAAAAAATATTTGTTTAACTTTAGGTATAAAAAATCAGTTACAATTATGTTACAAACTTCTGTGTCATACCGGTTTCGATGAAACAATCAAATTTGGTCCAGTAGATTTTATATGTCCGACTGATTATAAATACATGACGTTTATTAATGGTGATTTTGATTATATTGAATCAATTAAATGGGTTAAAAAGTTAGGTGTGAGATTTAAGATGCACGATATCATAGTCACTGATATAAAAGAACTACCCGTTTTTGGCGAAATTTTGGATATTATATTTGTACAAAGAGAAGTTTTTGTAATCTATGCAGAATTTATAACTTTGAGAAAAAAACTATAATAAAATTCGATAATTTACCCAATTGCAATAAATACCACCTTTACATACTTTGTGATGGCCAATATTATATAAATAAAACGCAAGGAATTTAATGACCAATTGCACATACTTAAATTAGTGTTTAATTTTGATATTTATGTTTTTTATGTTATTTAAGGATTTTTGTTTTATTTTTTAAAAATATTTAATAAATTTAGGTAAAAATTTATCAACTTTTTTATTGTAATGCCCACTATTTCCTTTTATTAATCCCTACCCTAAAAATGTGTAAAGAGAACAATAATACTTACTAACTTATTCAGTTGGAACTACTAAAAGTATTTAATTACCTCAACAATACAAATAAAATTTTACCATAAAGTTTTGTTTTCACTGCCAGAGTAATTTATTTACTGTAACAATATAAATAATTGTTTAAAACCCATTTTATTTTGTTAATTCTACTATACAGTCTTGCAGCTCTATATACAGTTGTCACAACAATGTAGTTTGAACTATAACATAATTGTTGTCACAACAAACTAGGTTGCTATCCCTATATTAATCATAAAGTTTAGTGGAAAATATCAAAATTATAGTTGTCACAACATTTTTTTTTTTGAGTGTAGAAAAAGAAATATTATTTTAATTCTATTTATTATATCAAGTTTATAGCTTATTTACAAAATTTAATTATTTTGATGTAAATTGCAGTTTTATTTCAAAATATCATTTTTTTGTGTCCTTGATGGAAAACAGCCATTTGATTAGCTAGAATTCAATGAAGAAATGTTTTATTTTACTAATTAGCAACACTTTAATAGTTAGAAACACTCGTTAGCAACACAACCATACACATAAATTTGACATTTAACGAAGAATTACGAACACTAACAATTAACGATATATAAGAGAATGAATCAGTTATCATAATACTACGTAATAAAAAAACGAAAAAGAAGCGAGTTTTTACCATAACTTCGGAAGCGAACGGAATTGAGTTGTATCGGAAGTATCGTAAATTAAGGCCACAGAACACGAATCATTCCAAATTTATCGTTTTCATAAGTTTTACACTTTTTCCATTAAGGATGTGAAAATTGGTTTCACGAGCCTTGGCGACCTTTTTCACTCACTGGAAAACTCTCACTTTTCTTTACTTGTATAACAATCTACTATTACTTCATTTTTACTTTGTCAAAATCTAAGAAATTTTCATGTTAGACCCTAGTAGTTTGACATTGTAAATAGGTTAATCCTTTTTTAGGGTAAAAACCTTCGGAGAACGTTATTTCGTAGTTTAAACCTCGTAATGCGTTTCACAACACATGTAACAATCGCTCGAGGCCAAACCCTTTGATGCCGCCCTTTTCTTTCGACAGTGCAGCGTATAGAGAGATCGTGCCGGATAACTCCTGGTATCTCTTTCGCAATTACCAGAGAGCACTTTGATCATCGCAGTGAACATCCGGGCCCGAAAATTCGACATAATTGCCGATCCTGATTTAAGGTCAAGTCACGTGCGCTTTGCGGTACATTTTAATGAGGTTATTATTCATCGGGCCAATTGGCATGGGGAGGGACGGTAACTAGATTAGAGAACTAGGAAAACGTGCATCTACCGACCTGGATGGTTTCCTGGGGAGTCAACTTCCGTTGATCGGTAGTCATGACCATCCCATGTCACTGTGTCCTACACCTGAAAAATATTTAAAGAAAAAGTTTAATCATATATCATGGTGCTGTTCTGAGAGGTGTTTTTGGACTTTCTGTGAAACCTATTTTTTTATATTCTTGTTAATTAGGTCATAACTAAAATTTTAAGAGCAAAAAAATTTGACGGTTTGAATTGTTTTAATTGGCTGTTTATTAAAAATATTATGCACTCTTTCAATTATCCAATTAAAACTAGCGATTTAATTTAAATATTTAATATTTGCATAACTAAAAAAAAGGTTTTACAATTTTTTTTATATATTTTACTGTTTTGTTGCAATAAACGTTCAAACTTTTAATCTAACCTTTGACGTATACATTTATGTTCCCTTAATTAATATATCCTTAAAGGTTGCCATGAAACTTAGATCTATTAAAAATTTATTTGACGTTTGAATTGTCATTTTCAGTATACGTATTCTACAATTTTTGTTTAGTTTTTTAAAGTGTTTTTTATAACCAAAAATGAAAAATTGTAGTAAAAGTTACGAAGAAATTCATGAAATTTAACTAAGGACCGGTTTATTCATCTTTAGTAAAGTTTATCGGGCCGATAACTTTCATGTCTTGGCAATATCTAGTATCCAAAGAAATTATTCGTCAAATAAATCAAAAATTAATAAATCGGCCCTAAATAAAATGTGGCACCCTTAGAATTATTGTTTAATAAATGTATACTATACATTTAACCTTAAATTAAAACTTTAAACGTGTATTACAACAAAACAGTAAAAGATATAAAAAATGTATGGATCTTTTTTTAGGAAATTAACTAATCTTTAATCTGATTTAAAAAGTTATGATAATATTTAAATAAAATCGCAAGTTTTAATTGGAGAATTAAAAGTGTGCATACATATTTTTAATAAACATCCAATTAAAACAAAATTAACCGTCAAATTTTTTTTATTTTGCTCTTAAAATTTTAGTTATGACCTAATTAACAAGAATATAAAAAAATTAGGTTTCACAGAGTCCAAAAATCACCTCTCAGAACAGCACCGTGATATTATATCAAGAGAACTATTTGTTGGAAAATGTTGAATGGCAAATAATGTAATAAAATCACGAGACCGCTTAGCGGTCGAGGGGTTTTATTTTTAATTATTTTGCATGAAACTATTTTCCAAAAAGAAAAATCAAATAAAAAACTTACTGAGCATAGTTTGACGGATTAAATTTTTAGGTTGAGTGATATACGTCTAGATTATTTCTCGAATTAAAGGAAACTATTTGACAATTCATAAAATCTGACGTATGTGTCAAAATTTATAAATATTTTTTTAAAGAAAATTCCACACCTGTAATTTTTAACCAATCAAAACGTGTATTTTTGATAGATCACCATGGCAACGGTTGAATTTTAGTGGAAATTTTTTCCTCGTGGGTACCCAACAGCGAATTATACTGGAAATTTTTTGACGTTTATAATGACAGAATATTTGTTTGACAATCTGGTTTTTATTTGTTTACATGATAATTTTGATACATTTCCATTACAAAGTTTAGATGTTTTCTATATTCGTTGGACACCTCCTTTCTTCTTAATGGCGAAAATGCAGGACTTGCAATAAATTAAATGTCTATGTCTAATGAAATATATATAATATTTAGACACTATTCTATTCACCTTTTTTTCCATTTAGCACTTTGAGTTTTGAATAGTTAAGATGCAAATATTCGTGAACAATTCAAAACAAATTTTCTTTCTTCAAGTAGGAGCCACAATCCTCTAATAATGCGGGTAAATAAGTCATTGCAAGATGATTGATCATTACAGCAGACAATTTCACATTTTTTTACGTCGTGCCGCTTGACAGCTTCAAAACTGAAATTACTTTTAGGTTGAGGTTGACTTAGTTGCCATGGTAACTAAATAATCAAGTCAATGTCAAGTTAAATCAAAAAATAAATTTTAATTATTTAAACACAATTTGGTGTGGAATTTTCTTACCGAATACCACACGAGGTCAAATTAAATCCGGAAATTTTTTCTCCCTCATGAATATTTTTAGAAAATTATCCCTCGTCTTCGACTCGGGATAATTTTCAAAATATTCATGAGCTCGAAAAAATTTCCGGAAATAATTTGACCTCTAGTGGTATTACTAGTGAAAATTCCATTAATTTAAGGTATATATTTCGTAAACTAGATAACTTATTTTTTATTGTTTTTTAAAAAATGTTTGTTAAAACTTGTAAATAACACCATAAAATCGTAAACAAAAATCCAATATGGAGGCTAAAATTTAATCGCTCTTAAATAAATCTAGTGATTTAATCGCTTATTTAAACGAAATTTATTCGAAAATTCAAGGCTTTTGATTGATTCATATTATAATGAGGGAAATAATCATTTTTAATAATAGCTTGAAATCTAATTGATCGATTTAAATTAAAGGTATTTGAGCCCTCTAAAACTTTCTTTTACATACTTTTAATATCGGATAAGTATTTTGACGCCAGCGATTTTAATAACTTTAAAAAATCGTTTTTATGGCAAAAATTGAGGCCGAAAATTTACATATCCTCCTGGAAAAGGTTTAAATCAAACAGATAACTCCAGTTTGAATTTTTTGTCGTGAAGCTGACATTTTTACAAAAAAACAAGCTAATGTTGATAAAAATACATGAAAAAATGGCGAAGTTGAGAATTTTTTAGTGGAAGACCAAAATTCAGCTTTTTGACGATTTTTCTTTTATTTTTTTTTTTATTTTGTAATATGTTTATTCTTTATTGAACACCTAAATAAAGTGCTTGATTGGAATTTTTTGAGTTTTTTACGTACTTTTTTCACCGAATACATTATTCAAAATTTAAATTTGACATGACTCCTCAAACGTGAATTCTTTTGTTTCTCGTGTTGGCATAGTGACATTTTACTGATATTTTTTGATATTTCAACAAGGTATTTTTATCATGGTTTTATTTAGTTAATAAAAAGTGTAAAAGAAGTAGAGTTCGAGTGCGTAAATAACCCGCATAATCTGGGCGACGTAAGTGATGAGCACGGAGAACGTTTTCACCAGCAAATGAAGGCTATGGAGCGGCGGTATCACGGCTTCTGGGATGCAGCCATGATGGGTGATTACATTTGGTCCCTCATACGAGAAACGGAATACGAAAGCAACAAAAAACAAAGAAGGAGCCAGAATTTTTTTAAACCTATGCATATTACAACAAAATAAAACTTTCAATTTCTTCAATGTTCAATATTTATTGTTTAATATTCAATATATAATTTAATTTCAATATTTAATGTTTAAAATAAAAATTAATGTATGAATTATGAAAAAACGTAAAAATTCTCGAAAAGCTGAATTTTGGTCTTCCACTGAAAAATTCATAACTCCGCCATTTATCCATGGATTTTTATAATCAGCAGCTTATTTTTTTTATTAAGTGCTTGTTTGGTCAAATCGATATATTAGAACTCGACGTGAAAACACCTCAGAAAATTTAAAAAAACAATTGAAAATTCATATCTCGAAAACGCTTCCATGAAAAAAATTTAAGTGTGATTTTCGCGTTTAGTAACTACACAAGAAACTCATAGTTAGACATGGTGGGCAAAATGGCTGTAAACTAGTGTAATTGCTAATTTCAAATCAATATCTTTTTTCGTTCTCTAATAAATAAGTTATAACCTATAGGTGAATCACCCTGTATTTAGAGGTAAGTATATTTTCATTTAATTCCTTTAAATTTTCCCAGACCGACGTAATTTGCAAAGTAAACATCGACAAAAAAAAGTTTGAAACCAATAATTCAAACTTTTCTTGTGCTGATTTACATTTTTACTTTCCTTATTTCAAACTTCTTCATGCTTAAGTTGTATAGTGGGTAATGAGATCTTGGCAAAGTTTTTATTTATAATTGCTTTTAGTTTCCTGAAAATGTTTACGAGATATTGATTTTTAATTTTAATTTTAAACGAGTGAAAAGTTTCCACTGAAAATTGGCTATTTTTTTTATACAATTTTAACAGGTTTAAATTGGTCCCACACAGAGAAAAATCTGTTTGAAAAACATTGCACAAAGTTGTGCAACATGCCATTGGAGAATAATTTTCTATAAATGTGCTACGTTATCATTTGTTGGAAACAGTCAAATTTTATATTTAACCATTTGCATAATATTCTCAAGAAAAGATTTTAAATCTGTTATTAAAAATATTTCAAAAATAAATGTTACTCTTTTGTAATTTGTTCGGGTGTGAAGCATCACACCACCAATGAAAATCAGTTTGCAGTTATTTAGTGTTAGGAAGTGTGTCATTGTGAGGTTAGCACCTTTATTTCTGGTGAATAATTATTAAATATTATTTTTCCGAATAGGTACACCGAAAAAAATAATGTAGTTGAGTTAACATTTGCCTAAATGTCATTTTTAAAAATGTTGTTTCAACAAAAAACCTATTGGATTAATCTATATTTTGGTGTTAAAGCAAAAGTCAGAGTTTGTCAAAGTTTATTTGTTCATTTGACAGTTTAAATATTAATTTAACATAAACTAATATTTTGAATTAAAATGTTTATCGTATTTTGATTTAATAGCTGGAATTTGTTGAATCAACTACTGAAATTTTTAGGATTACCTAAAAAAACTATTAAATTAACGTTTAGTTGCTCTTTAATCCAAAACTTTAAATTTGTTCATTTAACAAATTTAAAATGTTACTTTAAAATTTAAAATGTAAAATTTGCATTCATAAAATTGCCGAGAATGGCGCTTC